GCAGCAACATGGTCTTAACATGTGTGTTTTAATATAAAAAGGTCCCAAAGTTTACTAAGATTTCAATGTCATCATAATGTTTGTAGGAAAGTCCAACCTTATGGATGCCATCAGCTTCGTGTTGGCAGAGAAGACAAGTAACCTGCGTGTGAAGACTCTGAAGGATCTAATCCATGGAGCGCCTGTAGGGAAGCCAGCTGCCAACAGAGCCTTTGTCAGTATGGTGTACCAGGAAGATAATGGAGAAGAACGTGCCTTCACAAGAGTCATTATTGGTACAAAGCTCCATTACCAACCGTCCTTTAATATATAATTAACTTTCTTTTTGAATAGTTGTCTGTGTGAATTAAGAGACACTGATCTAGTAAAATTTGAATGCTTTTCAGCTGAATAAAAGGATAGTAGTAAAGCTGCATGGATATCAGTTTTCAAAAACTGACTCATCGTCTAAGAAAACATTTTTACACATGTTTGTTATTTGGTGGGTCAAAAATATTTAAAATCTGTTACATTTATAAATTGTGAATAAAATGCACTTGTTTACTATAGTATATAAAATAATGTAGTTTAACAGTATAGTATATATATATAGTATATTATTTGTGTGTGTTGATGATGAGCTAATGCTTGTTTTGTTTTTGGAATATGCACCAGGTTCTTCCTCTGAGTATCGCATCAACAATAAAGTAGTGGGCCTGCCTGAGTACAGTGAAGAACTGGAAAAACTTGGAATTCTGATAAAGGCTAGGAACTTCTTGGTCTTTCAGGTAAAATTTCATTCTTGTAAATGTTGTCAAGATCTTTTCACGAGCAATTTATGCACAGGCAGTCTTTCATAGTACTCCTGTACTAATCCACTAGGTTATTTTGATTAGACAGTGCAGTAGTTTTTAGTGTGTGTGTGTATGTGTGTATCATTGGTTTGAACGTGACTTGGCCAGTTACACCAGAGATTAAATTAACACCAGGTAACATTTTATTTGCTATTTCAAATCTCAGTTTTGTCTTTATTTCCCTTTAAGGGAGCTGTTGAGTCTATTGCTATGAAGAACCCCAAAGAGCGTACGGCGCTGTTTGAAGAGATCTCCCGTTCAGGAGAGCTGGCCCAGGAGTATGACCGGAGGAAGAAGGAGATGGTGAAAGCAGAGGAGGACACGCAGTTCAACTATCATCGCAAGAAAAACATCGCCGCAGAGCGCAAAGAGGCTAAGCAAGAGAAAGAAGAGGTTTG